TTGTTCGATGATAAAATAAAGAGAAAATAACATTTATTGATGATATTTTTAGTCGAAAGTAACTTTGATAAATGATAACTTTGATCGAGGATAATTTTGATCGAAAGTAACAAATTGCTGATAACTTGGACCAAAAGTAACATTGATCGATGATAATTTTGATCGAAAGTAACTGTGGTCAATGATAACATTAATTGAATGTAACTGTGATAAAAAATAACTTCAATTGAAGATATCCTTAATTACTTTAAATTAAATTTAAAAAAAAAATAATTAAATAATAATAATAATTATTATTAATAATTAATAATTAGTCTAAAATTTTTTTTTTGCTAACTGAAAAAAAATTGCAATTAAATTGGAATATTTTTTTCTCCAGACTATATTTTTTAAGGAAAATTTTTGTAAATTCTTTTAACTTCCATGTTTTAAAGTCTAAACGAGGGAAAATTATTAACTTGGAGATTTTTTTTTCATTTTATGTGCATTGTTAATCATGGGCATTATATGTCGTTGTATGTGTGTGTGTGTGTGTGTGACGTTATATAATAGCATAAGAAAATATTAGATCTTGAAAACATTAAAAGTGATGTTGTGTGTGACCATGTTTTGTTGCTAATATGCGGCATTTTTAAAATAAAAAAGAGGGGTAAACTTGGCATTCACTATGGCCTCGTATAGTTGCGCTGTGCATCTCATTTAACTTTTTTTCACGCAGTAATGAGCAATTTGGGCGTAATAAAAAGTTGCAACGATCTTTCGCCAGCCAGCTGAAAGCAAAAATGTGTATACACGTCTCGCGCAATCTAATTCTTACTTGAAATGCCTCTCTCGTTTCATGTTCCTCGCGATGTTTGTATATATATATTTTTTTTTTGTCTTAAGTAAGATCAATACGATTTTTACCGCGAAAAAATTTTTTTTAGTCAAAATTAGTGTCATTTATATCGTGGAAAAAAAATATTTACCTAGAACAGTAAAAGATTTCACTGGAATAGGAAAATTATTTTAATTGATAGAATTTTTAAGACACCGAATTTTAATATGTCCGAATTTTTAATTGACAGAATTTTTGAGACGTCGAATTTTTATTTGTCCGAATTTTTAAGACGCAGAATTTTTATTTATCCGAATTTTTATTTGTCCAAATTTTTAATTGATAGAATTTTCATTTGTCCGAAATTAAAATTTTAAAAATTGTGCCCAAAACTTTCTGTCTAATGTTTGTTCGGACATTTGGTAATTTCGAACAAATGGAAATTCGTCGTCTTAAGAATTTTATCAATTAAAAATTCGTACAAATAAAAGTTCGGGCAAATTAAAATTTGTTTTGATTTTAGAAAAAAAAAAAAAAAAAAAAAAAAAGCTATTAACAATATTGTTATAAATAGAAAAATGAAAATTTTATTTCCGCGACAAATGGACTTATTTTTATTTAATTGAAAAATGTAGTTTTTTTTATATATATAAATGAAAGAAAAGGTCAAACCGCAAAGAATATTTGATCAGGACGAGAATAGAATTTAACGATGGATAACTGAGTTTATCTGTGGAATTGGATTGTGTACTTCCGGGCACTAATGGGGATGGCCATGGATTGGCAGACAGCACGTTCTAGGTGCAGATGTACTTAATCAATTCCACACACCAATCGAGTGTGCATTTATAGCCAATTGCTAACTTATATTTATATAAATCTTCTTTATCGAAAATTAACTTTCATCTGTCCTGTTCTGTTCCTTTTCCTTTGCGGAAAAATGATAACGGCAGAGTCTCGAGGTAATTTAATTTTTCCATCATATATATATTTTTCTTTTCCCTCTCATCTTAGGATTTAGTGTGAGGTTAAATTTTTGCTATTTTCAAATTGCAGAGATTACAACTAAATTTTCATAAAGTCACGTTTTATTTATTTTTTGTATCGCAAAAAAAAAAAAGAATGCATTTTTGAAAGGGAAGATAAAATAAAAAAAAAAATTATATTTTTCATTTTAATTCTCAAAAGAAAATTATAAACTCTAATAATTTAATTAACAGATTTAAATGATAATAATAGTCAGGAAAATTTGAATCAACTTTTTTTTTGCTAATTGCCAATTAAAATTCATTAGTGGGAAAATAACTTAAAACAGGCCAATTGACCTTTTTTTTCTCGAGTAATTTAAAATTTTCTTCTTTTTTTTTCTTTTTTTTTAATGCAAGTCAAGTGGTTTTTAGTAAGAGGATTTCATTTCGATTTTTGTACCTTTTCTTTCATTTTCTTTTTTTTTTTTTTGCGAAAAACATTTCACTCAACGGATATTACCGAAGAATTACAGGTTTATTATTTGAGAAAAGAACATAAAAACTTTCCATTTAATCAGAATATTTGAAGAGACTAATGAAAACAATTGTGAACCAATTCTCTTAGCCTTCTTCATTCAAATAATTCAAAAAAAAAAAAAAATACTAAATTCATAAAAAAAAATTTCAACCTCCCATTTTTTAAAATATAGAATATATATATATAACTTAGGATATATGTGATGAAGCAAAAAAAAAAAAAGTGCTTCGTAATAAAATGAGAATGACCACAATTCATATATATATATATATATAGTGATTCAAAAAGATAATAATCAGAATGGAAAATTTATGACAACGCAGAAACTTTGAAATTGTCGAAGGAATGCGAAATTGTAATAAATAATTCATATTTGATACATACATATATATAAATATAATTTCAAAAGGCGCGCACGCGATGAGAAATACCCTTACTGCAAATGCCAAATTATTCAAACGGATATATCCCTTTAATAATTTATTCTTCTTCCCTCGCATATAAAGCTGAATGGAAAGTCAAATAATTTACGAAAAATTATGCGATTAGAAGAATAAAAAAATAGAAAAAAAAGAAAAAGCAATTTTTAAGCTAAGAAGTTAAAAATATTAATGATTAGAAGTTGAAAACTATTCAGCCTTTTAGTTATATTAGTAATTATTAATTACTATTAGTTATTAGCAATTATTAATTATTATTAGTAACAATTAATTACTAGCAATTAACTAATTATTAGTAACTATTATTGGTTAGCAATTAATTAATTATTAGTCACTATTATTGATTAGTAATTAACAATTATTACCAATTAATAATTATCAGTAAAAAGTAACCTATTTTCAGTGGAAAAATAAATTTTAAAAAATCGTCAAAACAAATTGATTCACTTATTAAAAAATATTACTAATTTTTGACAAAGTGAATTTAAATAATAATTAGTTATATTCAACTAATTCAAATTTAGAAAGTAAAGAAACCCAAAAAAAATTTTCTATACAAAAAAGAGAAAATTGTTTTTTAGAGAATTGAAAATTAAAAAAGAAATTCTTTTAATCAATGTGAAATGACTTCTCTTCATTATTTGAGTAAAGAATTGTCTCTATCTCACTTTGTTTGACGATGACAAACATTTACTGGGAATCTATTCTCGACGAATTTTCAAGATAATGATGATTGGCTTCTTGTTGCGCGCTTTTGTACAAACAAAAAAAAAATAAAATAAATAAAGGAAAATCGTAACATTTTTCTAAGCCACTCTGAGAACGTCACGTCTGCCACTGGCATCCTGCCTCTTTTGCGGTTGATTAACTTCCGTTTTCGATGGGTATAGTTTTTCCAACTGCGCGAGAGAGAAAGGAATATGTGAACGAGAAAAAAAAAACGAAGAGAAAAAATCTATCGTAGCGTCATATTTAAATTTATATCCCATATTTTACATCGAAGAGAGAGAGAGAGAGAGAGAGAAAAAGAGAGAAAGAGTTTCTCACAAGTGTCAAGCATCATGACTTTTCTTTTTTTTAGCATTTTTTTTTTTTTTAACTTTCTACCCTCAAGTTTTTAGCAGTAATACCCGGCGTATATTAAATTAATCCGACTCGTTAAGAAGCTTTCGCTCGCTCGGTAAAATGGTCGTGGCAATAGATTTTCTTTTTTTTTTTCATCTTCTCCTTTGCCTTGGCGTACAGTTTAATTAATGTTAAAATTATTCTGACTATTCGCGATAATCACTCAAAGTAAGTAAATCTACAAGGACACGAAGGACTAGCCCTTCAATTAGCATAACCTGTGTTTCGCCACTGAATTTCGCTTGGGACAAGTTCAACTTATTCAAATTTCCTTGTATAATGTTCTCCTACGGTCATTAAAACTTTGCAAAACTAAACCGAGCAAGGACACGTTTCAAGTTTAGAAGGCAATATTTTCCTATCAAATGTTCAACGATTAGAACAAGTCAGATTGCAAGTGAAAATCTCAACATCATGTTCGTTCAATTCTCAATTCACACATATATATATATATATATATTATAAAGTTCATTAAAACTTGAATGTATGTTTCTTACTTTAAATTAACAAGTTTAATTGCTTCTTACTTACGGAAAAACGATTAAAATTGTTTACGAATACTGTAAAAATATTTATAACATTTTTCGTTTTGTTTTTTTAAACACGAGAGAAATACTTGTGTTTGGACAAAATTTTAAATAAACTCTCTATGAATTAGTAAAAATTTTAACTAATTTTAATTAGTTACTCACTTTTTACTTTTTAATTAGTTAAATTTTACTTATTTGAAAGCAAAAAGTAAGTCACTTATTCAAATTAGTTAAAAATTTTACTAATTCATATTTAGAAAGTAAGTTAGAAGAAAGAAGAAGAAGAAAAAGTGTTTGATAAATTATTTGTAAGTTTGGTTGTGTGGTCTGCGTATACGGCTCGCGTCTCAAGGGTCCTCGGTTCAATCCCCCATGCGTGTGAGATTTTTCAAAATTATTTCTGTGTTTTATATACTGTAAATGTAATAATATTTCCTAAATATATAAGTTAGAAATTAAAAAAAATAATTGTAAAACATTGAAAAATAAATATTGAAAATAAAAAAAAGATGGAAAATAAAATTGAAAAATAAAGATTGTAAATAAAGATAAGAATTTAATTGTCGAAATGCGAGTTAATAAATTCCCTCTCTTTTCTTTACATTTCAGGACATGATGACGAAGAACAAGCGTCGCAATTGGCGTCGTTTGTTGGCTGGTGGATTAATCGCGATTGTTGTGTTGGCATTGGTGATCACAGTCGCTATTCTACTAAACGGTAGTCCCAATTCGACGGAACCTAAAGCGTTAACTGCAGCCGGCATTTCTCTGGAAGAATGGCTCGGAGGGTCGCTGTCCACGAAAAGCTTTAATGGCACCTGGCTAAGTGGTCAGTACTTTTACATTCTCTTTTCTTTTATTTCTATCTCTCTTTCTCTAATTCACTATGCTTTCTTTTTGAACATTTTCTTTCTTATTCTCTCTGTCTTTCTTTTATTTTCAAAAAAAAAAAAAAAAAAAAAAAAATACTGAATTGTATGCGTCTTTCCTTTATCGTAGAAATTATTCAAGAATTTTTGAAATACGACCTGAGGCCATACCCTTCTTTCATCTTCTAGAACAATAAGCTTTCTTGTTTTGTAGCTTTGTCTACACTCTTTATAATATATATATTTCTGGCGAAAGAGAATAACTTGATTACCCGATTAAACAAAGTTTAAATAAAAAAAAAACACTTTTTAAAAATTATTACTAATTTTATATTTATTTAAAAAAAAAAATAATTTCAAAGTAAGGAATTTTTTTATTAAATTCAGTATTTTTTTTTTAATTATTAGAAAATTATTTTCTGTTTATTTTGTGATTAAAATTATTTTAGTTTTCATATTTGTATGTATATAGAGAAAAGTTTATAACTTTACATCAAATATGAGTCTCTCGCCTACTTTGAATGTATGACAAGATCTTTTGTATATAAGAGAGAAGGGTTTTCCCCCCTTTTTTGGTCTTGTGAAACGTCTTGCTTAAACTGTCGGAAGTTTAGCAAACACGACAAAGTCTTGCCTTGGTGCGCGCTTTCGTTAGTTTTTCCTCAACATGAGGCTATTCACAAAGTTCATCTTCTACTCTCTCTCTCTCTTTATATATATATATATATATACCTTTTATATATTTTTATGTTGTAAGAAATATAGTCACTCGTAAACCTCTCACGCAAAAGTCAGATAAGTCATAATTCATTTCAGTAATATCACCTCTTTTAAAAATTATGATGACAATAAAAAAAAAAAGTTTTTTTTCCTATATGCATTATTTTTTTAAGAGTGATTTTTCAAAACTATCATTCGTTAAAATTTACTGTCATTTTTTTTTATTAATTGAATTTTGTATTATAAAATTTTCTAATGGGAAAAAATAATTATCAAATTTTTCTTTATATAGAATTGTTGCTCTAATTTTTATAAAATAGTTTATAGGAGGGAAAATTTTGAAATGACAAATAATAGCCAGATCTATATATTTGTAAAGAGAGAATAATAATTATAATTGAAAATAACGGTTATCAGCTCTCGGGAATGTTTGTGATGTTAATTTTGTATGCACACTGGCAGAAGAGAGAGAGAGAGAGAGAGAGAGGGGGGGGGAGACTATAATGCAACAGTGGACTCGATGCATGACAGCAAATTATCATGGTGAGATCGATTTGCTTCATAGCATGCAATAAACGTCCAAATATGCAAATTAACATATATTCCAGGAACCAATTAATAACACCTGCAAATAATCAACCTAATTTCAAATTTGTATTTTTTTTATTTATTGTTAGTGTTTTGTAATTTTGTTTAAATATTTTCAAAAACCAAAAAAAAAAAAAAAGAAATTCAAAATATTTTAAAGAACTCAAGATATGGTTTAGATTATTCAGAAAACTATGAATAATTAAACATACTTCAAGGTACTTCAGATATTTTTAAATACATTAAGATACTTCAGATAATTCAAGATACTTTAGATAATTTAAAATACTTCCAGATAATTCAGGAAACTTGAAAAATACTTTTAAACAATTTAGGATATTTCAAAATGTAACTTAGGATACTTCAAAAAATACTTTAAGATACTTCAGATAATTCAGGATACTTTAGATAATTTAAAATACTTTCAGATAATTCAGGAAACTTGAAAAATACTTTAAGATAATTTAAGGTATTTCAAAATATAACTTAGGATACTTCAAAAAATACTTTAAGATACTTTAGATAATTTAGGATACTTTAGATAATTCAGGATACTTTAGATAATTTAAAATACTTCCAGATAATTCAGGAAACTTGAAAAATACTTTAAGATAATTTAAGGTATTTCAAAATATAACTTAGGATACTTCAAAAAATACTTTAAGATACTTTAGATAATTCAGGATACTTTAGATAATTTAAAATACTTCCAGATAATTCAGGAAACTTGAAAAATACTTAAAAATACTTCAGGATATTTGAAAATATTTCAAAATATAACTTAGAGTACTTCAAAAAGTACATTAGAATATTTTAAAATACTTTAGAAAATTTCAAAATTACTTTAGATAATTTACGTTACTTCAGATAATTCAGGACACTTTAGATAATTCTCTACACTTGAGATAATTTACATTACTACAGATAATTCATGTTGCTTCAGTTAATTGCAAAAACAAATAATAAGAAGAAAAAAAATAACAAAATTAAGAAAAGTTGAATTTTGCAATGTTAATCAGCCGCCTTCTGAGGTTAAATTTTGGGGTTGTTTTACGTTTGGAAATTCAGTCCTAGGTGTAATTATAGTGGTTGATGAGTGTTTCACGCTAGGCCGAGCCACAGCAGCCATCCACTCTCTCCGCACACCGAATTGAGGTAACTCAGTGCGCGGTTGGTTCCATATGCGTTTACCGATAAACCTCCTGCGTGCACAATGAATTACCTCCTCCTCCCCTTACACCCTCCCCCCCTCTCTTGCCACTTAGTGGTCCTTTCCCTACCGACCATTGAATTCCACGTTAGCCTCGGCTTCGCAACGTTAATTGCAAACTGCGATGATAAATGAAAATTTCATATCCGTTGCCACCTCTCTCTCTCTCTCTTCGCGTAGGTAGCATACATATATAGGAACCAAAATGACAGAAATCGGGGGTAATCGAGGGCAAACGTTTCAATCGTTAGCTTTATATCGTAACGAGAAATCGATATTGCCTTTCCCACATTTACACACCAAATGCTTGTTACTGTTAGATGCCATTTAAGCACCTCTTTTCAATGTCTCTCTCTCTCTCTCTCTCTCTCTCTCTCTCTCTCTCCTCTCTCTCTCTCTCTCTCTCTCTCTCTCTCTCTCTCTCTCTCTCTCTCTCTCTCTCTCTCTCTCTCTCTCTCTCTCTCTCTCTCTCTCTCTCTCTCTCTCTCTCTCTCTCTCTCTCTCCTCTCTCTCTCTCTCTCTCTCTCTCTCTCTCTCTCTCTCTCTCTCTCTCTCTCTCTCTCTCTCTCTCTCTCTCTCTCTCTCTCTCTCTCTCTCTCTCTCTCTCTCTCTCTCTCTCTCTCTCTCTCTCCTCTCTCTCTCTCCTCTCTCTCTCTCTCTCTCTCTCTCTCTCTCTCTCTCTCCTCTCTCTCTCTCTCTCTCTCTCTCTCTCTCTCTCTCTCTCTCTCTCTCTCTCTCTCTCTCTCTCTCTCTCTCTCTCTCTCTCTCTCTCTCTCTCTCTCTCTCCTCTCTCTCTCTCTCTCTCTCTCTCTCTCTCTCTCTCTCTCTCTCTCTCTCTCTCTCTCTCTCTCTCTCTCTCTCTCTCTCTCTCTCTCTCTCTCTCTCTCTCTCTCTCTCTCTCTCTCTCTCTCTCTCTCTCTCTCTCTCTCTCTCTCTCTCTCTCTCTCTCTCTCTCTCTCTCTCTCTCTCTCTCTCTCTCTCTCTCTCTCTCTCTCTCTCTCTCTCTCTCTCTCTCTCTCTCTCTCTCTCTCTCTCTCTCTCTCTCTCTCTCTCTCTCTCTCTCTCTCTCTCTCTCTCTCTCTCTCTCTCTCTCCTCTCTCTCTCTCTCTCTCTCTCTCTCTCTCTCTCTCTCTCTCTCTCTCTCTCTCTCTCTCTCTCTCTCTCTCCTCTCTCTCTCTCTCTCTCTCTCTCTCTCTCTCTCTCTCTCTCTCTCTCTCTCTCTCTCTCTCTCTCTCTCTCTCTCTCTCTCTCTCTCTCTCTCTCTCTCTCTCTCTCTCTCTCTCTCTCTCTCTCTCTCTCTCTCTCTCTCTCTCTCTCTCTCTCTCTCTCTCTCTCTCTCTCTCTCTCTCTCTCTCTCTCTCTCTCTCTCTCTCTCTCTCTCTCTCTCTCTCTCTCTCTCTCTCTCTCTCTCTCTCTCTCTCTCTCTCTCTCTCTCTCTCTCTCTCTCTCTCTCTCTCTCTCTCTCTCTCTCTCTCTCTCTCTCTCTCTCTCTCTCTCTCTCTCTCTCTCTCTCTCTCTCTCTCTCTCTCTCTCTCTCTCTCTCTCTCTCTCTCTCTCTCTCTCTCTCTCTCTCTCTCTCTCTCTCTCTCTCTCTCTCTCTCTCTCTCTCTCTCTCTCTCTCTCTCTCTCTCTCTCTCTCTCTCTCTCTCTCTCTCTCTCTCTCTCTCTCTCTGCATTTAAACAATTTCACCCCCAGCAAAAAATAGTCACAAAGAATTTCAATTACATTTAAAAACAATTTATTCGTAAATTTAGAATAAAAAATTATAAAATTATTATAATACAATTTATTATTAAATTCAGTATAATTGTTATTTTTTTTAAATTCACAATAGAATATTTATTTGAGATGTAGTTTTTTGTATAGATTTGTAAATTTTAGTACTGAAAATACCTAAAATACTTCAAATAATATTTTTAAAATATATGTAAAATTGAAAAACTTAAAAAAATATTTATTTCTCATTTTGAAGGACTGGTAAAGAATTTTAACTATTATCAACTTTTCTTTTTCTTAAATTTTTAAGCAAGCATAGCCGGTGCTTATTCTCGTTCGTTATACTTTCAAGTAACGTTTTGTGATGTTTGTGCAGTTTTTCTTTTTTTTTTCGTCTTCTTTTTTTTTTTTTTTTGAGGGAATAAAGCCTCATTATGTTCTCTCTCTCTCTTTTTGTTAGCTCTTTAGACGAGAAACACTTTTTTTTTGTGTGTAAATAACTCTTGAAATAAACATATTTTCTATAAGAAACGATTTATAAACTATTTTTTATTCCAAATAGTCTTGGAGCTTTAAAACTTTTCGCCGAGAATTTACATTCGTTTTTATGTACATATATAAAATGTAAATAAAATATTAATTCTAAATTTAAGAGTAAATTCTCAGGAAAAAGTATAAATATAGAAAACTTTATTGTAGAGAGATTAAAAAAACGAATTGTTGAT